CTGGTTACTTTAAAATTTGGTATGCTGTATCTCAAATACATTAGTAACTATTCCTAGATGGAAATAAGCAAATACATGGAATCATTAAAAAAAGATTATAAAACATTACTAAACTGTCCATTTGTACAGACAAAACATTAGCAAACATCTAAGATATCTTCAGCAAAAGAAATACATGTGTATTTTTAACCCTTTGGTATCCAAACTCTTATTTAATAATGAAGACTTTCTTAAATATATTCTTCAGTTAATAATAGGAAGAAACTATTTTTAAAGTTTCTACCTACATAAATTTGGTGCCAAGTTTTCAAGTTCAAAGTTACTGAGGATAGTTTTACATTGCAATTGAGCACAATTATGTTTGCATACATTAAAATGTAAAACCACCATTCTAGGAGTTTGATGAAGTATTTAACATGCTCCTGCTATAATTTAGCAAGGGAAAAAGACATCTGGATTTGGAAACCATTGGTTTCATTTGAAAGCACTATCTATAAAAGCAGTAAAAAAAAAAAATCTGTATTTTAATCAAGCTACTATGAAAAACAATCAAAACTCTAAACTTCATTTCTTAAGTCTGGAAAGATGTCAACCCACTTACTGTCCCTGTCTAGCAGGCAGAACTTAATAGTTATTTCAGAAAGTGATTCCTCCATCCCAAAACACCTTAACCAGAAAATAGCCAAGACCAGACAAGTCTGCTGTGGTGACAATTAGATAAAAGGAGGCAGCACAGTGGCTCACACTTGTAAACCCCATGCTCTGGGAGGCCAAGGTGGGAGGATTGCTTGAGCCCAGGAGTTTGAGACCAGCCTGGGCAACACAAGACGACTCCATCTCTACAAAACATTTTTAAAAATTAGTTGGGCATGGTGGTATGTGCCTGTAGTCCCAGCTACTCAAAAGTCTGAGGCAGGAGGATCACTGGAGCCTAGGGGTTTGAAGCTGCAGTGAAGTATAATCATGCCATTGTACTTCAGCCTGGACAACAGAGTGAGACTCTGTCTCTTAAAACAAAAAAGAGGAGGCAAAAAGTAGGATGTGAGGATTAGAATTCAGAGGACCTAAAATCAGAAAATATGAATTCAGAGTCACAATTCTGATAGATTTCATAACTGCATTATTATTCTGACAGGCAAATAAACTAACAAAAATAAACCACAAATTTCAAAATGAACAGCTAAAAGTAAATTTGGGTAACATTTTGACAAGGGCAAAAGTTGCAAATAAATTTAACACTCATATTAAATATGCTCATCATCTGTATTTGCCCTAATGAAAATCTGGCTTCTAGACAGGGCTCTATGGTAAACAAAGAAAGGTGGGTCTAAATGGTCAATTTTAATCCAAACTAAGCAAATTCCATTTTAATTAAAATTTTCTAAAAGTGAAGTATTTTTTTCAGCATTCGAAGTCTACTAACATCACATTCTAGACTTTTTTTCTTATGGCCAACTGTGTCTGCTTTCTAAACTAGGCAAGAGAGAATTTTCTAGAGTGAGTCACTGAATTTCCTTACATAAGGCTTTAGATGCTTCTCAAGCTAACTAATGATCCCAGTTAAGATAAAAATTAATGTAATTAAGTTAAAATACATGTAGCCCAGTTGAAGATCTGGTTACCACAGAATAAATGGCTTCTAAAAAAATCCTCTCCTATAAAAAGGTTCTCAGACTTTGCCATTAAACACTGGCATCTATATAATGCAGTATTAAAATGGACCCACAGATCTGCCTGAGGTGCAAGTAATGCTCGTTTCATTCTAAATCTCTTTATCCCTACTCCATGGCATAAAGCTATTTTAATAGCTGGTTGATATGGAAACATCCTCCACTTTCTCTCTCAAGAAAATAAAGACAAAGTAGCCAACAGTAATTGGTAGCAAATTACTAAGAGTACAGCTAATCCAAGGCTTGAAATCTGCTATATACAATGTTGGTAGTAAAAAGATCTTAATTATCAGCAGACAGCAAGTTTTCAAGTCTTCTTCCAAAATCACATTAAGATTTAATGTTATGCTGCTATATGCTCTATCGTCCAAAAGAAAAACAAGGTGACAATCTTTAATAGTATATCCTCTTCTTCCAATCAAAACCTGAGTGTCAAGCAAGCAGCAAATACTGGCTGCAATGGGAAAATGGAACTATTATGTTAGCAAGATTAAGGATGGTGAAAACTTCACATATTTGCTGAAAACTCCATACACAGAAATTTCGGTCCTTTAAAGTACACAAACATATAGTTTGTTCACAGAACTTAAGATTTAATCCTGTGAATTTTAATTTTGAGATGTAAATAACGGAAAACAATAGTGACCAACATGTAAGCCGGAAACAGAATCTCACACACAGAAAACTTGGCACCAAAACTCAAGATTTAAAATAAGAAAAGAAAAAGAAAGTCCATTAACATACTCACGTGTGGTGCTAGAAAATTTAATACGATGCACAGCAGCTGAAATGCGTTATCTTACAGATGCAACCTACATTAACAAGTAAGTTATATAACAAACCATTCTAGCCACAGACACTTAGTGTACTTGCCCTTATTATTATGTACCTGATGTCCAAAACAGCACAACAATTTAAGACTTTGGGCACTTTATGTAGCAGATATATAAAAAGCAAAGCAGGAATTAAGAGCAAATTAATTTAATAATACTGATATAAGGCAGCTTTTAATCTATTCACAGGAAAAATTTATATTATCTCCTAAATATTATAGCATGTAATATAAATAATTAATAATCTGGTCCATTCTGAATGAAAAAATAAGTAACTTTAAGGACATTAATTCTATGCTCCTTGAACATCTTAAAAAAAAAAAAGGTTATGATTTGCTAGGACTACACTTTACCATGAGCAACATTACAGGGAACAAAATAGACCTAGTACCATCATTTTGGAGATTCAAACTGTTACACGTTGGTAGACTAAATGGGGTAATTATAAAAATGTGCAGAAATCAAGAAGCAATTTACAAATTAACTGACAAACTTGACACTTTAGATGTTAAAACTAAATAACCACATATACAATAGCAACAAATAATGATTACTTGTGCTCTATCTCCAGGCCAAAGACTTGGAACTTTAAGAATCGCTTTTGGCTAGGTAGCTCAGGCTAAGTATATCTTCTAAAAAAAAAAAAAAAAAAAAAAAAAAAATGAAAGCTCAGTCCAGGGAAGTCACCATAATGCAGGGTCTTGAGGGGTGGCTCTTATACTGAGAAGGACAAACAGACTGGCACCTGAGCCCATCTCAGCCACACCTGGTGGAAAAGAGACACTTGAGGGCCCTGTAACCAAGGACAGAATTGTAAATAAAAGATTCTCATTTTTAAAAAGACACCTACTAAAAAAAGGACATTGTGATATTTATTGGCTGAAAAGATTAAGCTATCCATAAAATGAATAAAACACCTTTGTAATAAAATGTTTAGGACCAATTAAGAGTATTATTTAGAAAAGTCATTAAAAATATCAACTTCTAGTTATCCACTGTTTCAATAAATGACAAGCAATTTTATCAATTATGTTATATATGACTCCGTATTTTATAATGAAAGCTTCTGTTATTAAAGGTGAGTTTTTAATCTGACTACAGCTAAGAAAAATGCACAAATTACCTTGCTTTAAAGCAATCCACTGAGAATCACCTCAATGTTCCTCTATTGTATTAAATATATTATCAATTGTTTCTACGTTACCTTTAGTCACAACTATACATGAAGTCAAGAGAGTCCCTACAATGTAACAGTAAATACGGGCCATGTTTATAATACTAAATAACTATATAAGGATCATAGCCCAAACTAATGGCGAATCTTGTCAATAAACTTAACAAAACAGAAGCTAAGATATTCACAGATTATTGACAGCCACTGGTACCTACACGTGTCGTGCATTAACGTGTATGGTTTTGCTGTCTGAGATCTATTTTCAATATTTACTATAATACAGAGTCAAAGCAATGAAATGGAAACCAAAGGGTTAAACTATTTTGTGGGTTTTCTTTCAGAGTCTAAATGTTCACATTTCTGATTAGAATAATGTGGTTTATAATTAATCTTTATGAATTATTCATAACACAAGGTAAAACAAAAAAGTTGATATTATCAGTTATTTTGGTTATTACAGCTCTATAGCTTACACTCAACATTTAAGGGTGAAAACCGCATCCATTTTGTTAATGCTGTGAACTGTAGAAGAAAAATTTTTATAACATAAATCTTTAAGAGAAAGTTGATAACAAATAAATTTAATAGCTAAAATAAACGTATAATGCCATGGCTAGCTAATGATTTGCATATAAGATCTAATTTCTAAAAGAATACATGTAAACATTAAGATTGTCCTATCAAAGCATAAATAAGCTAACTGATGTAAGCTGAGCTAAAACAAAATATATTTTAAAATAATGCCACCGGTATGAGAAGCTTATAGCAAGCTTGAGGTCTTTAGTGTAAATAGTCCTATTTTACAAGGAACTATCAATTATTAAGTTGTAATAGGCTTTAAAACATAACATTCTCACATCTGCCAAGATGTGGAAACTGAAACCCAGAAAAGCTAATTTTCTTCAGAAACTTTTTGAGTCAGAGGCCTGAAAAGATACTTTAATCCAACCCAAGCTTCTTGTTTTGAAATTAAAACTTGGCAAAAAAAAAGTTTAAAGACCACAGTGACACAACTAGTTAGTGGAAAAGTAGTGGTGGCAAAGTAATGATGCCAAGTTCCAAATCTAATTAGTTAACTGTTCTTTCAGTTCAAATATACTCTCAACAAGAATACTGAGGCTGCTTGAAATTAAACCCCCTTCTGTTAGAGATCAACTTAATCCACACAATTTTCCTCACTAATGCCAACTGTTCTAAAAGGCAAAATTACATTACTAATTTTGAAAGCAAAGGTATAGGACTTTTGCCTGCTTATGTACTGCCTTTAAACAAAACATCCTCGACTACATCTTTAGCTGCAAAGAATAAATGAAAGACACTTACTCGATGTGAGCCCCATTCGCCACAAGGGCACTGATGCAGTCTAGGCTCCCAGAGCGAGCTGCCTTGTGAATGGGAGTTTCACCCTCACAATCCTGAAACAACAAAAAGCAAAATATACACATACTCAGAACAAATCTTCTGGCATTTTAAAGTAACGTCATTAGCACAGATCAGAGACCTTCTCATCCTTTGAGATAAAACGTGTTGATCAAGGTCTGAAGCAGGACACAAAGAAATCAATACATGAACAGAGGATGAGAGCAAACCACGAGGGGCAAGTTGTCTAAAATGTTTAGCTACAGGTCAACGACCAAGTATCTTTGGGCCTTCTCCAGTAGTGACACCATGAATGCTCTCAACAGTGATTTAAAAATCACTTTATGTTGGATCTTAGCACACGTGTGTTTTATATAAACCCAGAATAAGTTCACACACACACACATTAAAAGTCATCAAGGCCAAGAAATAGCACATAATAGCTGACATATGTTCTCAGCTGCCCACTTTCCTCTGTGAGCACCCCAATGCTAACCCAAGTCAACATCATCAATGCCTAACTTGAATCTTCTACTTTGAACTTGAAGTGGGACCACAGCTTAGACAAGATGGCCTGAGGCATAATAGTTGATCTATTTTGAGTATTTACTAGAGGGAATATTTACTAAATATTCCCTAACTATTTTCAGTATTTATTAGAGGAAAGAGAGAGGAAAGGTAAAGCAAAGCAAGCTTCAAAAGAACAGATATAGGTGATGGGGAGGAAAGCGGCAAACCACACTGCCATGTATGTACCTATGCAACAATCTTCCGTGTTCTTCACATGTACCCCAAAACCTAAAATGCAATAAAATACATATATATATAAAGAATGAGATTCCTGCTTCAGAAAAGGTGGGAGGCATGGGGGAGGGGGTGAAGCACATACGGAAACAGAGGAAAGAGAGTAGGCCCAGGAAAGCCACTGTGGACATCGGCACAGTCAACCCAGGTCTACATTACACAAATGAAACCTCAAAGGCCATCTTCATAGGCTATCAGCCAAGCAAGAGAGAGGAAAGGCAATCGGACACAGCAATCAAGAGAAGGTCATTTCTGGTGGAAAACAAAGACTGGGAAATCCTGGGGGCTCCACAGCAACACCTCTTGAATAATCACACTGCAACCTCACTGGTAGCTGAACTTGGCAAAAGACTACCACAGAATTAGAGATTAAGATAAAAAGGAGTGCAGTGATTGTGGGTCATTCAGAAAACAGTTCATTCATAAACTCGGTAAATAGTTGAGCTCCTTCACCAACACATACTAACTCACAGGAGAAAAAAATGAGGTGAGGGCCACCCAAAGTTAAAAAAACAGTGGTAGGATAATTTACAGAAAAAGAGTATGAAAGCCTTAAGTGCTTGGTGGAGGAAAAAATGTGCACATTTATTTAAACAAAGGTCTAAAGAGAATATAAAGCAACATAAAGCTCTACACAGAAAGATCCGTTTTTGAAAAGAGAAACACAGAAAACCATGCAGCTATACAGTAAACTCTCTATTGAACTCAGATTTTTTGAAAAGCCAAAACCTAGCCCTATCCTCCTAAAAGAGAGGTGGGAATGGAAGAGGAGCAGTACAAAATAAAGAAATAAAAATTACATAAAAACATTGCCAGGAAAAAGGGAGCTGAGATATATAAAGTTTTGCCGAAAAAGAAAAAAAGCTACAAAGGGGGAAAAATGCTCTTTAAAGATATCCTTGGAACAAGATGAAAAAGTAAGGGTCTGTTATTGGGGGGATATCAACAGGTGACAGAGAAAAAGCAAAACTATCAACCTCTGTAGGGAGAATCTTTTTCTTTTTCTTTTTTTTTTTTTTTTGAGACAGAGTCTCGCTCTGTTGCCCAGGCTAGAGTATGGTGGCACGATCTTGGATCAATGCAACCTCCACCTCCCAGGTTCAAGTGGTTCTGTTTCAGCCTCCTGAGTAGCCAGGACTACAGGCTTATGCCACCACGCCCCGCTATTTTTTTTTTTTTGTATTTTCAGTAGAGACAGGGTCTCACCATGCTCGCCAGGACTGTCTCCATCTCCTGCTGGGATTACAAGTGTGAGCCAACACGCCCAGCCTGTAGAGACAATCTCTAAGGGCAGAGCAAACACTAAAGGCAGGCCCGGGCACCTTGAGAGAAGGTAGCCAAAAGAAAAGACACTTAGAGCAAAGAGCCAGATGAAGGTGACCACGCGTCCAGCTCAGCCCAGTCACATAGCAACCACAGCAAACTGAATGATAAAGGGAACTGGGAGTAGTGCCAGAATGCTCAAGACAGGCTGGGCACCTTGGGTTTTAATAAAGAAAAATTTCATTTCTAATCTAGATATGAAAAAGGCAACATCAAATGCCAGCAAAATTCTAGAAAAGGCATATGAAAGAGAAAGCTTGCTAATTATACACCATGGATAGTCAATATAGACTCACCAAAAACAAATAACATGAAGCTAACTTCATTTCCTCTTGGGGAAACCAAGAACATCGGCCTCCAGACATCATATGAGCTTCGGTAATCTCACGGGCTCACCTTAGAGACTGCCAAGAAAGTCTGCGGTATTAACCTTGAGGAACATGAACTTAGAACTATTAGTAGCTAACAAGCCAAAGGATTAACATACTAGGAACTGGGTTAAAACACAGCATGAACAGGTTCAAAAAATTAAATGCATACAAACAACAAAGGAAAAAGACCTGGATCTGGTGTTCTAAGAGTTTATATGAGACATGAGAGAAACTGTCTACATGGAGATGAGTCAGCAGGTGGGCTGGGGTTGGAGGGTTATTGTGCCCTCAAGATCACTGGATGCCCATCACAAGAGGCGTCGAAATTCACCCACTACTACATAATAGAGGGAGATGATGTCTGAGATTCGGATGCAAACTCTACATGCTGGCAGACCACAACTACCTAACCTAAGACCCACAAAGGAGAAATTCCACGGTGCTTCACAATGCCAAATGATACGTCCTAGGCACATGGGAGGACTTAGAAATGTATACCCAGATATTTCAAATGCAGGGAGGGCTGCAAAGAAAAAGATTTAGGATCCTGCCTTGAAGAAGCAGAGTGCGAGTGCAGGAGAGGTTTCCAAGAGGTGTTATCTAGAGGCACCTGAGAGGAAGGTGGGGGACACAGAAGCACACTTTCTGCCCCCTCTTCTCTATTGGAAATACTGAACTGCAATAAGACACTTTGAAAAGGGAGCTTCTCGATTTATAAAGGTCTGGAAAGCAGTGTTAGACAATTTCTCTAGTCCTTTCTAAATTAGATGCTATGTAATAATTCAATGAAAATTAACATACAAAAATTCCATAAGTTCCATACTAGGTATTAATTACTGCCATTCATGAATTATCCATATTTTACTGATAAAGGAGATTGAGCCACAGACCAAGTTAACGACTTGCCCAAGGCCAGAAATGTGGCAGAAGCAGGAATCAAGCCGACACTGCACTTTCTACCAGGGGACAGTGGTAGGGAAGAAGGAAAGACACAAGGTGATGCCCAGCACCGTAAGGGTACAGAGTAGGTAATTCATAACTCTCAAATTTATGAATACAAGCAACAGAGCAGCAGAGACATCTACATATGTAAAGTCATACATGCAGAGATGGAAAGGGAAGTGACAGCATGGCAACCTGAAAAGTTGTCCCATATCCCAAGTTTCAGTTTAGTAACAAACAGGCCTAAACTCTTGGCCACCCTCCCTTACACTGTCTTTTCTACTTCGCTTCTCTTAAGGAGACAATCACTTACCCCAATCTCCCACTGATTCTTGTTTCTCTTAAGGGGACAATCACTTACCCCATTTTCCCATTGATTCTTGTTTTAAATCATGGCTAACAAGACCTTCTTTCTCAATTACTTGCTCCTTAGCTGAGTAGTTGAGTTTTTAGGAGAGAGACTAGCAACTGCTTTATACCTGGTTATCATCAAGGATTGAATCTTGGGAAAGACAGAAAAGCAGGAAGAAGACTTTGCATAAAACAAGGCCTTGATGATTGTATATAGCAAAAGCATTTACAAAAAGGAGAAAAAGAGAAAGGCATAAAAAACAGCTCCCAGAGCCCATGCCAGGTCTCTTAGACTAATCCAATTGCAGCAAAGGATGCCGAGTGTGGGGACTGCTCCAAGTCAGACAACATACTGGTTATCAGACGCTGCTTGCCTCATGCAACCAAGTCCCTAACAATCTGAACACTCTCATATAGGTGAAATGCCACTGAAAACACATCATGGAAAAAATCTGGGACACTTACGTTCCTGTTTGTATGCTTAATCTTAAATACCAAGTCACTTACTCTTCCCACTTAGTAAATGATACTTAGCTACTTATCTGCATCAAGGCATCAACTCGCATCTGAAGCTCACTTTGGAGCCAACTTAACAGCCACGCTTTTTCTAGGATAAAAGTGTTTTTATAATTATCTGTGGAAATGAGGCTAAGGTAGCTGCGAGCAGAAAGCCAGAACACCTGGGCTCAAGGCCAGGCTCCTGTAATTACCAGCTATAACCTTGGGCACATTACCCTGGATCACAGTTTATCATGAAGTCACATTATAGGTGAAAGCACTCTATAAACAGAAAGCATTCCTGTGGAAAGGGCCTATTATCCTCCACAAGCAACTGAAGAAACAGAAACTCCGGTTTGTCCTCAGGTAAAGATATCAAACTCTAATTAGGACCTCAATTTAAAGCAATACCATGTGTATAATTATAACTGCAAAAAGAAAAATCAAGAGCAAACAAAGTCCATCCAGCACTCTTACCGGTTTGTTAATGTTGGCTCCTGCTTGAATCAGCCAGATCAGGCACTGAGGATGTCCCCCAAAGGCCGCAATGTGGGCTGGCGTCTGCGCGTACCGCGTGGTGGAGACGTTGAGTGTGGCTCCGGCTCTCACCAACTGCATTAAGCACTCCAACTTCGAAAATAGGAGGAGGGATGAAAACACGCAGACATGTCAGTACCCTATTCAATATTACACAAATAATCTAAATTCCATAATGATGACAAATGGCTTTGTTACCAATTTTTTAATAGAACAAATTAAATCACTCCTTCCCAATGCCAAGCAAATTTTAAAAGGCATTTAAAACAACATTTTTCCTTGTCCTTATGAAAAAGACGGTAGGCAGAAATAAAAAAATGCAAAAAGACTAACACCATACAGATTTAAATATTTTGGTTTCCCTACAGCTGAATAAGCCAAAATCAGAAAAGATTGGACTGCACTGTTCAAAGACTTCTATCAAAATTGTTTTTTGCACAGACTACTCTAAACAAAAATGTAAGAGATTGGTGGGTTAAAAAACTTTGTGTAGGCCAGGCGCAGTAGCTCACTCCTATAATCCTGGCACTTTGAGAGGTTAGGCGGATCACTTGAGGTCAGGAGTTCTAAACCAGCCTGGCCAACATGGTGAAATCCCATCTCTACTAAAAACAAAAAAATTAGCTGGGCATAGTGGTGGGAGCCTGAGGCAGCTTGCACCCAGAAAGCGAAAGTTGGAGTGAGACGAGATCACGCCACTGCACTCCAACCTGGGCAACAGAGCAAGTCTCCATCTTAAAAAACAAACAAAACTTTGTGTAATGCTGGGTACGGGGGCTCATGCCTATAATCCCAGCATTTTGGGAGGCCAAGGTGGGTGGATCACCTGAAGTTCAAGACCAGCCTGGCTAACACAGTGAAATCCCATGTTGGGGTTTCAAAAATACAAAATTACAAAAATTAGCCAGGCATGGTGGTGCATGCCTACAATCCCAGCTACTCAGAAGACCGAAGAAGGAGTATCAGTTGAATCCGGGAGGCGGAGGTTGCAGTGAGCCAAGATAACTCCACTGCACTCCAGCCTGGGCAACATAATAAGACCCTGTCTAAAAGAACAAAACCCCCCACAAACTTTCTGTCACTACAACTCCTTATAGTCAAGACTATTTTCTATAGTGTACACAACTGTGCACTTTTAAACAAGTCAGCACTAAATACTCATTGAATACTCAACTAAGGCCCCATTCTCCACATTAGCTTTTTTACTCTTTTCAAATGATTTATATTTATCTAGCCTCTGGCTAAAATATAGTTCACCACATTCAACAAATTTAGCAAGTGCCTACCATGTGCCAAGCAATTGTTCAACACATGTTCTCTAACCCTAGACTACTCGTTTTCTCTCCACTCCAATCACAATGCAGTTAGGGAACAAGCTATGCCGGACTGCAAGCAATTCTCAAGAGCAGAGACTGCACCTGAAGACAAAATACCTAATATCCTCCTTTCCCATCTCTCTTAGCACTTTAAGGCTTTCCTTGCAAAGGACGGGTCGTATCAATAAACACTTCTGTTAGACGAAGAATACACAGATTCAAAACACACTCTTCAGCCAACTTGGATCTGGGGGTAAAGGCTGATGTCTATTTTTATTTACTGCCTTTGTTAATTTACTGGGCGAAAATGAAAGTATTAACTAGTGATAAGATGAACAGGTCTCAAATCAAAAATAAAACGGATGAAAACCACTCGGCGAACCAAAAATCATTTACTGAGAGCTCGCTGGGCTCAAAGCTGTTACCCTTAGGTTCAATCTAGAAACCTGGATTTGCAATTCTGGAAAGATACTGTTCAATACAGTATCATAAAAGGTACAATAGAGATTTTAAACAACGTTTAGCCCTCTGGGAACAAATGAGTCTTACCAACGTTAGGGATCTTGTGCATCACTAGCACATTTCTCAGAACACTAGCCTGAAACCGGTGTAAAAGGGCAACCGTTAGCAGAGTTGCGGGGGAAGCCTTGACTGGAAAGCTGCAGCCCTGAGTCCTGGCCTGATTTCTGTCCCAACAGCTTCTCAGAAGGCAATGTCTGGACACTGGACAGGGGCTTTCTAAGGCCCCTTCCATATCTAAGACCAAACAGCCGTATGATTCAGACAGCTGGAAACAATGAAGTAACTGCTTCTAGTTACATTTGATGACCCAGGTAAAGCTACTGCTCAAAGTTCCATGGAAGTAGGCTTTTGAAAAATTATTTGTTTTTTTTTAATGGGATAAAATACACACAAAAAGTTACTATTTTAATGTAGTTACGGCTATTTTAATCCCCAGAGGCAACTGGAGGCACCAATGGGTGAAATATTCTAAGTGACCATCCATAACGAGGCTTTAAGCATTCTACAGATTGTTGTTCACTGTCACCCAGTACAGTGTCATTCTCAACCAGAGAAAGGATGGAATCCTAAAGGTTGGTGTAAAAATAAACCACAGCAAGAGGCACTCTGAAGGGAAGGAATCCTCAGATTACTGACTGCCTCGGGAAATCTATTTCAGGCTGCAGGCAAAAGCTCAGGGAGGCTTTCTTACTTTTGTTTGTTAAGAAACTCATTTCCCCTGAGGACTTGTTTTCTCCAGCGGCTACCACAGTTGCACAACTTCACAGACAGTGCCACAGGGACCTAACAGCCCTTGAGGGTTAACCTGCTTCCCCACCCCAACGTCAAAACTCCTTTTGATTTATTTTTTACTTAAAGAAACGTAACGTTTCCATTTTTTTTTTTTTTTTGGGACGGAGTTTCGCTGTTGTTACCCAGGCTGGAGTGCAACGGCGCGATCTCGGCTCACCGCAACCTCCGCCTCCTGGGTTCAGGCAATTCTCCTGCCTCAGCCTCCTGAGTAGCTGGGATTACAGGCACGCGCCACCATGCCCAGCTAATTTTTTGTATTTTTAGTAGAGACGGGGTTTCACCGTATTGACTAGGATGGTCTTGATCTCTTGACCTCATGATCCACCCGCCTCGGCCTCCCAAAGTGCTGGGATTACAGGCATGAGCCACCGCGCCCGGCCAACGTTTCCATTTTAAGAGGAGAATCAGAAACTGTTTCCCAAAAGACACAACTGCGTTGTGAATGCAGCACCGGGGGTAGCAAGGTAAACTGCAACTCCATCAGCTGGTAACGACATTACGATGGCCAGGCCTTCTTAAAATAACTTATTTCACGTTATCCTCTATATATTTCCGCAAAACCATTTAACCCCATCTCATAATTTACGAGGAAAAACACTATAAATATCCCTGAATTTTAGCCAATTTAAAAATACTAATCATTTAAAGCCACTTTCGAAAGGCAAGGTGAAATCTCCGTTTAAGACTTAACTGAGGCCGAGCGTGGTGGCTCACGCCTGTAACCCAAGCACTTTGGAGGCCAAAGCGGGCGGATCACCTGAGGTCGGGAGTTCAAGACTAGCCTGACCAACATGGTGAAACCCTGTATTAAAAAAAAAAAAAAAAATATATATATATATATATATATATATTAAGACTTATCTGAGCAAATACCAAGAAACTGCAGCTATCCAACCTTTAAAAACTTAAAGCAGCACTGTGTTCCCCAGAATTTTCAGTTTAAGTAAAAAAGAGAGGAACGTAAAGGCTCCACAGGAAGAGAATTCTGCTTAACTTAACGACTTCTGCAGCCATTTAGATCCAAGATCAACACAACCGTCACTAATTTTCCTGAACCCGGGCCAGCTACGAGCCTTAAAGCAAACCCAGAAGCTGGAGAGCCGGTCTCCACCCCACACGGCTGCCCGGGCCTTCCAGGCCGGCCGGGGCGCTAGCTCCTCGGCTGAGCTCGTCCGCAGCGCGGGCCTCGGCTCCCGGTGAGGCTGTGCCGAACCAGAAGCTCGACCGCGCCTGGGCATTCCCCTCGCGCCTAGTTCCCGCAGCGCAAGGGCTAACGTCGCCTCCGACCCCAGGCGCCGCTCCCCGGAAGCCCCCTGGGCGACGACGCGGCCTAACATCCCGCTCTGCGAAATCACCCGCGTCCCCGGCCAGGCCTGGAGGGCCCGGCACCCTCGGTGCGCAGGCTCCGGCCGACAGGCACCGAGACTCCCAGAGACCGCCTGGTTAGAAACTTGCCACGCGCGCCGCCGCACATGCGCCCTAGGCCCCTCGGGGCGCAGGCGCCACCGACCCCGCTTCCGCTCCGCGCTCCAGGCACGCCCCGCACCCCCCGGCTGCCCCGCCGCGGCCCTCGAGCCCGCGCGCTGCCGCACAGACGCCACCGACCCCGCTTCCGCCCGCGCTCCCCGCGCTCCTCGCGCTCACCGCACCGCAGACCAGCTTTCCCCGACCCCCACTGGACAGCCAAAGAAAATGGCGCCTTAAAGCGCTCGCGCCCACCTTGCCGAAATGCGCGGCCCAGTGCACGGGCGTCCAGCCATAGAAGGAGTCCTCAGAGGCCAGGTGGGCGCGCGGCGTCTGCTGCAGCAGCGAGCAGAGCGTGGCCAGGTCCCCATCGCGGCAGGCGCGGTGCAGCGGGAAGCGGAGCGACAGCAGCTCCTCGCTGGAGAAGCCCGCCTCCACGCCCGCGCCCGCTCCCGCCGCCGACATGGTCTGTCACCGGAGAGCACGGAGCTCGCTGGCCGAGGATGCGTCGGGAAGGACCCGAGAGGTCGCAGCCGCCCGAGCACAAAGGAGCGAGACAAGCGCGGCGATCGCGTCCCACAGGCTGCCGAGCCGAGCGCGCTCTGAGGGGGCGGGGCGGGGCCTGGAGCGGCCGGGCGCGGGGCGGGGCCTGGCCCTGAGGACTACTGGAGCAGCCGGGCAGGGGGCGGGGCCTGGGCCAGAGAACGCCTGGAGCCCCCGTGCGGGAGGCGGGGCCTGGAGCCGCGGGCGCCTGGAGCGGCATGACAGGGGGCAGGGCTTGGGGCACGGGACGCCTGGAGCAGCCTGACGGGAGGCGGGGCCTGGAGCGGATGGGGGCGGAGTCTAACCCAGAGGACGCCTGGAACAGCCGGGTAGGGAGCGGGGCCTGGACCAGAGGAAGCCTGGAAGCAGCCGGGCAGAGGGCGGGGCCTTGCCCAGAGGACGTCGGCAGTGGCGGGTTAGGGGGCGGGGTCTGGAACCGCCAACGTTCGGAGCAAACGGGCACGGGGCGGGGCTTGGGCCAAGAGGACGCCTGGAGCGTCCGCTCAGGGGGCGGGGCCTGGCTGGGGCGGGGCGGGGCTGGGCCGCTGCCTACCACGGCTTCCGGAGCTCGAGGGCACCGGGCTGAAAGTGTGGGGGCTCAGGGACGTAGAGCGGCTGGGCAGCGGTCTGAGTGGGGCTGGGGGCCGCCAGCGCCGTGCGTCTCGGCCGCACCCCGGTTGCGGACCGTGGTGTTTCCAGCCTGGGAGCTGGTCCGGGGGCGCAGGTTGAGGCTCCGCGGGTCCCCACCCCGAGCAGGTGGGAGCTGCGGGTTTCCCCAAGGCCCTGCAGCGCGCAGTGAAGTTGTCCGGTTAATATTTATGGAGCGTCTGCGGGAAGCAGGACTTCTTATTAAAATCCGGATATCAACAAGCCCTAGTTTCTTACGGAGCAGGAGAAATTTCTCGGCTTTGTCGGAGGGACGCTTTCCTCGGGACCGAGTGCAGTGGGTTAGGACTATACGTTTGCAGATTTAAAAGATAAGCCAGGATACCACGCAGAGCCAAAAAAGCAAGGCTTTTTGTTGAGAACTGTGTAACTATAAGGGAATACAAAATTCCCTGTTTCAAATGACAGCGTCATGGGCTTTATGACATAAGTAATTTTATTCTGATTATGAAAGCATCAGTAATTTCACTATTGAGGAATATCCTCTTAATGTTTATGAAATTTCCTTTCCTTCTAAATATGCAGCCTTTTTAAATCATGTCTTTTGTTTCATTTTTATGTAGTGTTTTCCCCTGTGTAAATTTCCTTACGTTTTACAAAATTCTACGTCACAGAAATTGAACTTTAACAAAGCAATTAGATGTCTAGGGAAACACTGATGCAGGAGAAAGCATATTGTAGTATTGGTTAATAAAATAATAAATAGAAACCTAAGATTTAACAAAGGGTGATTGTTAACTAGTGTTATAAACACCCAACACAGATATCTATTCATGCAGCAAACATTTGTTGAGTATACTGCTGAATGAAACACACCGAGAAACACTCTATAGTGAGAAAGTATCAGATATTTCAGTTCAGTGAGCAATTGCTAATGAATGGAAAATATGAATGACAAATAGAATCTATCTTTTCTCAAGGAGCTTGTAATCTATTAGGCAGGAAAGAATAATAATAATTCAAGCAATACTTTTTTGTTTGGACCAAAAGGGTAAGAATAGGCTATAAACTCATTTCAGGCTTTGTTTTCTCTAGAATTTAATCCTTCTTTTCACGAGCCATATTGATTTTAATCTAATCTCTTTAAAATATATCCCCCGATAATGACTTCCATCTTAGGAAAGAGGCCTCCCATTTAGTTAAAGGACAGGAGTGTATCTTGTCCTCCATACTAATTAAAGGGAGGAATTACTCTCTAGGCTACATTCTGGGAATAGTGAAACAGAGACACTGATAAGCCAAGGAATTTGACCAAGGGCAAACTGGATGACTGTGGCAGAGCTTAGAATAATATCCAGACCTAGTTTCCAACCCACTGTTAGATTTTTTTGTTTTTAACTTTGGAATTTATTTTGCAGAGAGTCTTAAGGGCCAGGAAAATGAAATAGATGATAGTTGTAGGATACTTAGTGTACGTCTTTCCTCACTTCAGATGACTGGGGTTTTTTTTAGGATTATTTAGACTGTATACATATTTATGTAGCTGTATAGGAGTAAACTGACAGATCTTTTAACTGTGGCAGGAGGATTGTGGATGGGATGGTGCCTACTGACTATTCGAAATGCCAGTGATCTAATTGGTTGGTCACCCAGGTTTTGCCCAACTCTTATAATTGTCAGAGGCGTTCAAACCAGAACAACTCCATTTTAAATGGGGCTGGGTAAAATGAGGCTCAGACTTACTGGGCTGTATTCCCAGACAGTTCAGGCATTCTAAGTCACAGGATGAGATAGGAAGTCAGCATAAGATGCAGGTCATGAAGACCTTGCTGATAAAACAGATTGTAGCAAAGAAGCCAGCTAAAACCCACCAAAACCAAGATGGCAACAAGAGTGACCTCTGGTCATCTTCACTGTTAACACTCCCACCAGTGCCATGACACTTTACAAATTCCATGGCAACATCAGGAAGTTGTTGTTGGATTATATGGCCTAAAAAGGGGAGACATAAATAACCCACCCCTTGCTTAGCATACAATCAAGAAATAACCATCAAAATGGGCAACCAGCAGCCCCCGGGGCTGCTCTGTCTATGGAGCAGCCATTCTTTTATTCCTTTACTTTCCTAATCAACTTACTTTCACTTTATGGACTCACCCTGAATTGTTTCTTGCGTGAGATCCAAGAACCTTCTCCTGGGGTCTGGATGGGGACCCCTTTCCTGTAACATCTTCCTGGCGACCAGAAAGGGACTATATAATGTGGAAACCCCTGACTTAAAGGCTAACTTTGGGTAAGTGGTGGGGTCCAGTAACATCTTTCTGGTAAACCCCAAAGGGATGATACTGAGGAGATCCTCCACCTGACCCAAAAGAAATAGACTGCAGCACTGATTCACTGACAGGGTAAGTGGTGGGGCACCCAGCTAAAGAATGGGATTGAGTTAGAGGCCCAATTTGGGGGAGTTAGAGTCTCCCCTAAGACAGAGTGGGTTAGAGGCCCCTCTTAATAAAAGGCAAGGACGCTTGACTGACCTTGGGTTACCGGCCCCTCAGTAAAGTCTCTCTTGGTAAAGTCCTTTCGGCTAAGAATGGTTTTGGCACTATGGGATGTTAACTGCTATTCTCTTTGGATAGATCTGCCTTGCACTCTTTGCTGATGGCTGTGGGTGACAGGATTAAGCATGTACAGGATCGTGGGACGTGGTGAACTTTTTCCTCTCTAAAAGGGAAAACTGGAGAGCTTCTGGGACTATTGGAAAAGATCTCTTTTCTACTACTGACAAGCGGCCGCCTGAACTCTGGATTCAGTGTTGGCTGCAATTGGCGAGTCTTTCTCTGGCCTCCCCGAGCACCCTGAGGGCTGCCCTGTTTGTGGAATAGCCATACTTTTATTCCTTTTCTTTCCTAATAAGCTTACTTTCACTTTATGGACTCACCCTCAATTCTTTCTTGAGTGAGATCCAAGAACCCTCTCTTGGGATCTGGATTGGAGCCCCTTTCCTGTAACATAATAATTACCAATCTCAGATTTTCTTTGGAACTCTCATTTCTAAAAAGCTCCAAAGAGAAGAAAAAAGAGTAGATTCGTAACATTTTTTTCATCTGATGAGGCAACCATACAGGAGCCAACTTAGCCATTTGAGGATCTAATCCAAATCCATGAAAGAAAACAGGAAAACTCGAAACTCAACGTGCTTTAAAAAAAAGTCCAAAAACCCTGCCTTTAGATTGGATTTTTTTTTTTTTTTTTTTTTTTTTTTCAGAAAAGGATTGCATTTTGTGAGAAATTGTGGAGGTGGGCAGGGTTCAGTTGTGTGAATGACACAGTGATTCAGTGTCTATACATGTGACGGACATCGATGAGTATCTCTTGAGTGCTGTTATTATGCCAGGAGCAGCGCACCCTGAGGGATGTGGGGTTATAGAGAAAGGCAGGCCCCAGCTGATGTGCCATACTAAGCATGCCATGTGAAGGAGTGGCTTTTTAATTTCAAAAAGTTTAGGAACCAATGAGGGGTTTTGTTGTGCCATTTAAGGGAGGGAATGATGGCTTGGGTGGAGGGTGGGGGGACTCAGGTCAGACTTGCAGCTTGGCTCTGAGGATAGAGGTCAGGGAGCCCACTGTGACAACACCTTCAGGACTCAACGTGGGCCTCCGAGCCTTGCTCTTTTCTCCTTGGTCCCTCCTCCCTTTCTATCCACATCCACCATGCTGGCAGGTCCATCTTTTGAGAGGGCAGAGCTGCTTAAAAATTGATGTAAGAACAGTTTCCAAAACTTACCTGCATGTGGATTTTTTTTTTTTTTTTTTTTTTTTTTTTGAGACAGGATCTCACTCTGTGCAGGCCAGAGTGCAGTGGCACAATCATGACTCACTGCAGCCTTGACTTCCTGGGCTTAAGGGATCCTCCTGCCTTGGCCTCCCAAAGCACTGGGATTATACATGTGAGCCATGGCTCCTGGCCCTATGTAGATTTTTATATCTACATAAGATTGATACTTTTTCTTAAAACAGGTTCACTTTTTTAAACTTACCCCACTTCATTTACATCCTCTTCATTAATAAAACATTAGTGAGTTTGCGGTGCTAGTTACATTTTCTCTCTACCCTTTTAAACAAATCGATATTAAAATGGTTTGTTCCGTGAACCTCCCAAGTTGGCTCCTGCCTTTCGAGGCTTTCAGACCACACCTGGGAAAATGCTCCGAGGAAGCAAAGTCCCAGAGCAGACCCTTGGCTTAGTGATGTCCTTATAGCCAGGGCTGGCTGCCTGTCTTTGGAGTTCTTGTTATGTCACTGCCCAGGGCTGTCCAGGGCGCATCTTTGACACTAGGGCTACCTTTGCCTGGAAGGCTGCTCCCTGCCCTATCCCAGAGTCCACTCTCTTTGATCTGGGTTGAATTACGTTCCCCTCAAATTCATGTGTTGAAGTCCTAACCCCCAGAACTTAGAATGTGGCCTTATTTGGAAATAGGGTCATTGCAGATATAACTAGTTGACATGGGGTCACACTGGAGTAGGGTGGACCCCTAAT